CCTGAAAATAAGACCCTGTCTTATATTTTTTTGCCACCAAAAAAGGCACCAGGTCTTATTTTGGGGGGGGATGTCATCCACTGACTAACCTCACTTGCGTGCATCACCCTTGGCCTCCTTTTCGCTGTCAAAGGCCTTCAAGAACTCTTTCTTTTGCAGCCGGCAAGGCTTTCCTGAAGGCCACTGCAGTCAATAACAGAGCTCAATCCAGAGCTTTGTTCTCAGCTACAGAGGCCTTCAGGAAAGCCTTGCCAGCCTTGCCAGCTGCAGAAAAAATGGACCGGCAAGGCAGGTGTCAGGGTGTGTGAGGCCTGCTTACAACTGACCCAAGGTAAGTAGCAGGGCAGCTCCACCCCCACCACATCCCCACCCTAGCTTAATTTTTTACCCATCCACTCTGGAGTGGGCAGGATCTTAACTAGGGCTTATTTTTGGGGGGTAGGGTTTATATTGGGTGCATGTGTAAAAGTCAAGCTAGGACTTAACTTTCAGGGTAGGTCGATCATATTTTCGGGGAAACAGGATAGTCTGCAAACTCCAGGAGAGATTTCTGATCAGTGAGGAGAGCTTTAAAATTTCTATCCAGCTTTGAGAAATATTGGCTAGTCTTTGGTAACTATGATCCAGTTTCCTTATAGGTCTTTTATGACATAAATGGGCTTTCGCTGGCTTGCTGACTATTTTGGAAAAAAAAGGGGGGGGGGAGGAATGAAAAATAAATATGGTAAATGAATTGGAATGTGGATGTTGTGATAATAGAGAATCAACCATTTTTTCCTTCCTGTTAGCAGGAAATCACTGGTTCCGTCACAGCTTTAAAATACATTTCTAGTTGCATAACTAAATCTTCTCTTCTGATAAATATGCAATGTCTCCACAACATTTATAAATGTAAGAGAGACAACATTACACCAAGTAATGAATACACCCTCCCACTTCCCTCTATTTATATGTTCCTGTCATCAAGCAATTAAAATAATGAATACTTTACACAACAACAGGTAAGCCTCCTGGCTGCATAGAGATAGTATTAACGTAGAATGCAATGGCTGTGTCTCTAAATAAGACACTGGTGAAAACTTCGTTCTCAGATTCTGTAAATGCCTCTTTCTCTTCAGTCCTGGATAGCTGAGATTAAAGCTTTCTACCAAGTATTAAATTAGATATATTTTTTCCTGCTTCATATTCCCAAGCAGATTCAACTAGGATAAATAAAAATATTTAATACAGAGAATTGGAAAGTCATACATGACAAAAGACTTCATCTAAGAATCCTTAGGAATTTTGCCTTTTATATATGCCTGACTCAGAGTTTGAATGGAATGGAATGGAATGGAATGGAGTGAAGTGGAATGGAATGGAATGGAATGGAATGGAATGGAATGGAATGGAATGGAATAGAATAGAATAGAATAGAATAGAATGGAATGGAATGGAATAGAATAGAATAGAATAGAATAGAATAGAATAGAATAGAATAGA